GAACTCATTATTGCAGTTGCAATGTTTGGTTACCCGGTCAGCTGATCCCCAACAGCGGTGGTTCCAGTGTAGGAAAGTCCCGGTGAATATCTACCAAAATGTAGCAAGCCCCAGGCCTGTGTGAGGGCCAGCATCACTAGTCACCGGACTTGGGTGCCCTTCAGGATCAAGTCCTTCCCCTGTCTGGGGAGTGCAGAGGGTCGTGGCCGCTTACAGGGTATGATCCTCCTCTTGTGTGGCAGATGCAGGGAGGCAGTGCCTCAAGGGGATCTTGGCCCAGGAGGGTGAACGGCAGGGTTAGTAGTTGGTTGTGTGGGTTGATTGCCCAGAGAGGTCCCGTCCCACTCCAATTGTAAGTCACCCCCGGTTCCCTCTTGCTGCTCAGGTAGATTAGTGTGAGCACGCTTTTGTATTTTCAGCCAGAAGGCATCAAACAGCTCATCCAGGCGCAACAAGGTGTGCTCCAAGGAGCCGCAGTGGGGTCTGTGAATTAGGCCCGGTGCCTGCGTGTCTGGTGGATTGGCAGTCGCCATTTTGGACCCACAGCACTGACTATGCATTACTGATTGTCCAGTAAAATCACAATGCACAAGCCAAGTTAGCAGCCTCTGGACATCCAGTGGGAACCGGGATATCCCCTACCAGTCCAAAAGGTGGCGGGGTTGGAGCTCAGCATTTCAAAGTAGTGGGTGAAGGAGCAGGGAGATCAGCCGCTTCCCCCGGACTCCATCCTGAGTAGGCTGCAACAGTATGTCCCGGGTTCCCGTTTGGTTACAGTCGCGATTAAAGCCTCTGTAAGGTCAGGCAAGCACCCCCAACTTAGGTAGTTCTGAGCTGTAAGTCTCTTTTCTCATCGAACAGGGTTAGTACCCTAAAATCGTTAAGATTGGCCGTAGACCACACGTCTGCTCAGCTAGCAAGCCAAGCTCCGTTTGCCAAATTTATTTTTTTAAAAGCCTTTTTGTTAATACTTATGTATTTGTTGCTTGATAGTAGGTTCCTTGTTTGCTATCCTTATGAAAACTAATGGATCTCAAACATTTAGGACCTATTTGATCCAAATTGGTTTGTTTTTGGTTTGTTTCATTGTGTAGGATTTCGGACGCTAATTTGATTTGGAACAAAAATAATGTACATGTCTACTTCATACTGTGCAGGACATACTGATGGAGGTTACAGGAATATATGATGCCACACCTTGCAACTTAAACAGCATCCAACTGTTACATCTCTATATCTTGTCTATATCTAGGACTATTCACACTGATATATGTTGTGAGTATTGTACACAAAAAAAAAAAGGACATTTGTTTGTATTTGCCCCCTAGGGCAAATTTCTGTTTTAATGGTATATGACTGTTATGATGAACCGCCTGTACCCAGGGTGGTATGTTCGTCTAAAAACTCTCTTAAAATCTCTGCAATGGTTTGTGTTCACTATCTTTATCTCATTCCCAAACATCAGGAGAGTTCATAAAGGGTACAAAAGGAGTCCTCCTAAGTATTGCCAAAGATGCCAAAATGTTTGACCCCCAGGCCAGGTTAAAACATACAGGTATCCATTCCGGCAGGTGGATCTCTGTGTGCCGCAACTTAGGTAAGTCTATTTTAAAGTGACCGTTTGCTCATTGCTTACTAATTATTTCCCAGGCACTCAAGGTACAGTACAGAACACATAAAACACCCCGAAACACACGTCTTAAATCCCTGGGTAGCCTGAGTTGTCCAAATAGCGCTCAGATCCCTGAAGTGTAGCCAAATCCCCACCACGGTAAAGTTTTGACCTACCGCACACATGGCTGCTGCCCAAAATAGTTCCATAGGAAAAGAGGTAGCGCTCTCCTGGCTTGTCTGTGAGAGTGTGATCTGTGGCTGAATTAGGTCAACTAGAAAAACGTACTACCTTAGAGTCCTTAGAGTGGTCGGACTTAACGTATAAAGAATAGTCAGAAACAAGCCGAAGTCAGGGGCACAGACAGGAGCAAAAACAAGAATACAAAGCCAAAGGGTCAGGGATACCAGAAATATGGATAGTCAGAATAAGCCAAGATCAAAAACCAAGAATCAATAAACCAAATGTGCTCTCGGATAACCAAATTGAAGTGGAAACCACGGCAGGGCAAGGAAGAAATAAAGAAATGGGCGTATATAGCTCTTCCCAATCATTCATTGGTGGGCAGGGGTCACCTGACTCCAGAACGTGCGTGTGCATACTTTGTGTGACCGCACACGCATGTCTGCGTGACCTGGAGGCAGGGCTATATATTGTGCTGCTTTTACAGCGGCCGGTATCCATAGGAACTCCGCACTCGCTGGGGATAGATCTGTGACACGGCGGATCTGGCTGTGATCTGCCGCAACTTAGGTAAGTCTATTTTATTTTGTAAGACTGACCGCACTGATCGGGTGCGGTCACGTGGTGTCGCGGACCGGGAGCAGGGACAGTACCCCCCACTCGAAGACCACCCACCAGGCGGGCAGGCCCCAGTTTATCAGATAAGAGGGCATGGAATGAGGGAAGAAGACGACCCGCAGGGACGTCCAACGCGGGAAACCAGGAGCATTCCTCAAGACCATATCCCTTCCAATCTACCAGGTATTGCAAAGAACCACGAGTAAGCCGTGAGTCCAAAATAGAATGGATTTCATACTTCTTCTGACCTCCGACCACCAAAGGAGAAGGAAGGACAGAAGGAGTGGTATAACGATTAAACACGAGTGGTTTGAGCAAAGACACATGGAAAGTACGAGAAATACAGAGTCCGACAGGAAGGTCAAGCACATAAGATACAGGGTTAATCCTACGTAAGACACGGAATGGTCCAATATATCTAGGGGCGAACTTCATAGTTGACACTTTGAGTTTGATGTATCTTGTTGAGAGCTATACCCTGTCACCAACCTGATACGAGGGTGCAGTACCCCGCCTTTTATCAGCATGCAGCTTGAAACGAGAAGCTGCAGCAACCAAGGCGGAATGCACCTGATCCCATGCCCTCTTCATGGAGGCTAAGTGCTTATCCAGGGCAGGAATAGCTGAATAAGAGAATTCAGAAGGAAAGACAGCAGGATGGAGACCATAAGTCACATGGACTAAGGCCAAATGAATCATTTCTAGCAAATTTAGACCCAGGTAAGAGGTCATGCCAGTCATTCTGGGTATCGTTAATAAAACATCTCAGGTACCCCTCTAGAGACTGGTTAGCTCTCTCAGCAGAAAAGGACAATTCTATGCTCATATGCTTACAAAATGCCCTCAGAACTTGGAGACGAACTGGGTACCCCTGTCGGAGACAATATTTTGAGGTATACCATGCAACCGAACTCTCTCATTGATGAACACAAAAGCTAGAACTTGTGAGGAAGGCAATTTTTTAAGAGCGATAAAATGTGCCATTTTGGTAAAACGGTCAACAACCATAAGTATGGTATTATAACCATTAGATACAGGCAACTCAACCATGAAATCCATAGATATATGAGACCATGGAATGAGAAGTACAGGCAGAGGTTGTAATAACCCACACTTTAACAGATGTGGAACTTTGGAGACAGCACATGTCTGGCAAGCATTAACATATGCGATAACATCACTTCTGAGAGATGGCCACCAGAACTGTCTAGTAATAGCTGTTATAATTTTGCGTATACCAGGATGACCAGCCGTTACATTATCATGGAACAAGTTGAGTATCGTCTTTCTTTCTGAAGCAGGAACGAATAAGGTTCCTGAGGTCTAGTTCTTGGTGCCTGAGTTTGAGCCTCTATTATGACACCAAGCAGAGGTGTAGATAAAGAAAGGACTGTCGAGGCCACATTCTGGAGGTACAATGGGAGTATTCTCTTGCACCTGGTCCTCCTCCGTTTCATATTGCCTAGATAGGGCATCTGCCTTGATGTTTCGATGACGATCTAGCCAGTCTGGAAGACATCCTTTTAGCGTCCCTGATGTATTTTAGGTTTTTGTAGTATGTTATGATGATCAGGGGTATTTTGGATACTTCCAGCAGATGTCTCCATTTTTTTTAAAGCTAAAATTATAGCAAGCAATTCTCTATTGACAGCCACTAGAGGCGCTTGCGTGCTTCTCACTGTGATTTTCACAGTGAGAGCACGCAAGCGTCCATAGGAAAGCATTGTAAATGCTTTCCTATGCGACGGGCTGAATGTGCGCGCAACTCTTGCCGCGCGTGCACATTCAGCCCAGGAGGAGGATCGGAGGAGGAGAGAAGGAGGAGAGCTCTCCGCCCAGCGCTGGAAAAAGGTAAGTTTTTAACCCTTTCCCCCTTCCAGAGCCGGGCGGGAGGGGGACCCTGAGGGTGGGGGCAGCCTCAGGGCACTATAGTGCCAGGAAAACGAGTATGTTTTCCTGGCACTATAGTGGTCCTTTAACATTTTTAAGTGTCAGATTAGTTATCGGGGCTATTACCATGGAAAATCCTTTAATAAATCGCCGGTAATAATTGTCAAAACCAATAAACCTTTGGATATCCTTTAAACCATGAGGTAAAGGCCATTTTAACACTGCCTCTAGTTTCTTAGGATCCATCTCGAAACCAGAAGCTGATATAGTATAACCAAGAAACTGCACTTCCTTTTAGTCAAAAAGACATTTTCCAGTTTGCAGTAAAGACCGTTCTTTAGCAAGGTTTATAAGACTAGTTTAACCTGAGCATGATGAGTATTTTCATCAGGTAAGAACACTAGTATATAGAGTTGAGCAGACACCTGGATGTTCGGGTCCGGCGGGTTCAGTCAATCTTTGAAAAAAAGTCCGGGTTCGGGCTTGAACTTGACCCCGAACTTAACCCCGAACCCCATTGAAGTCAATGGGGACCCGAACTTTTGGGCACTAAAATGCCTCTAAAAAGTCCTGGAAAGGGCTAGAGGGCTGCAAAAGGAAGTAAAATGTGGGCAATAGTAGGACAAGTGCCCTGCAAACAAATGTGGATAGGGAAATCACTTAAAATAACATAAAAATTAAAAATACAGCTAAACTATAAAATAGCACTATATGGAATCTTTGATTTTAGCTTTGGAAAAACATAAATCAAAATCTAAAGCATGGCTGTCAGGAGGATCACCAGAATTATCCATTTGAGAGAGGGTTGGAGTGCAGGGTATCTCTTTCATTGTTCAAACTGAGCTCCTGATGCACAGAGAAAAGGCCTTCACAAGCCTCTGCTATTGTGTACATAGTTTATACTAAGTGACCCATAGGTTGAGGAGGCGGTGACTGTGGCGGTGTAGGTGGAAGCAGCGGTGAAGGAGGAGGAGGTAGCCAACACTGTTTTATATATATATATATATTTTATTTTTATTTTTTTAATTGGGGTAGCCCCCAAAATATTGGGACATATAAAAAAAAGACAACTCTGTTCTGCAGAGCGACTGACCCGTGCGCGCTGCAGCTGAAATTCCACTATCGCCTGCTGCTGCTGGCACATTCTCATGAGACGGTGAGCGGGAAGGCCGAAGTTACGCTGCAGCACAGACAGGCGAGCAGCAGCAGGAGATGAGGAGGAAGTGCGCAAGGAGGTGTAACGGCACCTGGCATATTACCGAGAGCCACCCTCGGAGATTGTCAGCAGGACCTTTTGGGAGGTGGAAGCCAATATCCTTGCCAATACACAGAGGGTGACCTCCATGAACCCAGATGAAGGAAGAAGGGAGTAGAGGGCGCCGGCAAGCACAACCACCCTGCCCCACAAGCTACCATACAATGCCTTCAAAGACTTAAAGGAAGCAGAAGAAGGCATTGATTACTTTTTACAAGACTTTGAGCCCCAGTGCCTACTCCAAGACGTGGACCCCAGCGACTGGGTCACCATCCTGGCCAGCAAACTAGTGAGGAATGCAGCAGATATTTACCGGGCTGTACCAAAAGAGCAGATCAGAGACTATCCCTTCATTACCCAAATCCTCCTGGCACGGTATGCGGTCACCCCCGAGCAATACCGCCGAAAGTTTAGGGAGACCCGGAAAGGGGAGAAGGACTCCCATGCGGAGTGGGCATGCTGCATCACAAGGGCCACCTAGAACTGGCTCAACTCCCATCAAGCCAAGTTCCCGGAGGAGATCACCCACCTCATGATGCTAGAGCACTTTTTCAATGGGCTCCCCAACAACACAGCTGGTGAGACACCACCAGACCCAAGAAGTATTGATAAGAGCTGCTGAAGCTAGCTCACGATATTCTCTTGGCAGGGCATTTGGGCAGGAGCCGGACAGCGTCTCGGCTCACCCACGGCTTCTTCTGGCCAGGCATCTCTCGGGATCTGAGGCAGTACTGCCAGATGTCTGCCAGAGAGTGGGGAAGAGAAGGGACCGGCACCGGGCCCCCCTCCATCCCCTACCTATTAGTGAAGATCCTTTCGGCAGAGTAGCTGTTGACATTATAGTTGTGCAGACACTTTGTTGACTCTAGAGAACCTCGGGCCAATCGCACGTCCCCGTAACGGCGACTTTGCATTCGGATGTCATCCATATCAACTTTCGATGCCAGTTTCTGTGCCTACCATGGTGACCATGGGTAACGGGGAATCAGGGTTGGATTACGGAGAGGGAATCTGAGAAATGGCTACCACATGCAAGGAAGGCAGCAGGCGGGCAAATGACCCACTCCCGACGCGGGAAGGTAGTGACGTCAAATAACAATACAGGACTCTTTAGAGGCCCTGTAATTGTAATGAGTCCACTTAAAATCCTTTAACTTTGATAAATTGGAGGACAAGTCTGGTGCAGAGTGACTGACCCGTGCGTGCTGCAGCTGAAACTCTACTATTGCCTGCTGCTAATCGCACAATCTCATGAGGCGGTGAGCGGTAAGGCCGAAGTTATGCTGCAGCGCAGACAGGCGAGCAGCAGCAGGAGATGAGGAGGAAGTGCGCAAGGAGGTGTAACGGCGCCTGGCATATTAACGAGAGCCACCCTCAGAGGAGATTGTCAGCAGGACTTTTTGGAGGTGCAAGCCTATGTCCTTGCCAATATACTTCCATGAACCCAGATGAAGGAAGTGTCACGTATTCATCCGCTTATAAAAATGTGGTTAATGGCATTTACTGTCCACACAGGAAAAGTTGTGCAGAGCAGCAACCAAATCCACAGAAGGGTTAATGCTGAGCAGCAATTATGCAAATGGAAACATGGTAACTGCCTTTGGGGTCAAAGGCCGGTTACAGCCTATCAGATCTAGAGGAGAGGTATTTAGGCCCAGTTCTCATCCTACTCAGTGCCCTGTCGTGGTTTCCCTTGTGGTTGTCCGGAAGCGTGTTCCTGATTCAAAGTTTCTTCTGGTTTTTGATTTTGGCTTTGATTTTTACTTCCCTGTATTCTGTATCCCTGACTTCTGGCTTTCTCTTATCGTTGTGTCTCTTTCTGTATCCCCACTATTCTTTGGTACGTTAAGTCCGGCCATTCTAAGGCCCGGTAATACGTTACCTATTAGTCATCTGTGTGATACAATTCTACGTGCTGGATCGACTAGTAATCCTGACTTTACGACATGGCCATAGGTCCTGTAGAATGGTGTCAGCACATAGCTGCTTGCGAGAGAAAGCTAGTGGAGAATGATCACCGTATGGATCAAATTGTCCAGGCTTTCAGTATGCTCCTTACTCGAACAGCGCATCTGCAACCTGCGGCTTCTCCAACTGTGTCACATCCGCCTAATGTACAGCCTGTAGTACATAAGGCACTTACTATCTCCTCCCCTGCAGTTTGATGGTAATATTCAAAAATGCCGGGGATTTATTAACCAAATTGAGTATCATTTTGAGGCCTCACCGGGATCTTTTCCCACTGACAGAGCTAAAATTGGTTACCCGATGAACCAACTTAAAGGTAAAGCTGTAGCTTGGGCTAATCCGTTATGGGAGAGTAGTGGTAGCATTGCACACAATTACCAGGAATTCCTTGCGGAATTTAAACTTACATTTGAACCATTAGGCAGGGAGGATGACGCCTCCACTGCACTAATGCATATTAGACAAGGGAACCGGTCTATCTCTGAGTATGCCATAGCATTTCGCACCTTGGCTTCCTAGGTAGACTGGACTAACAGCGGATTAATCTCAGCATTTAAGAAAGGATTATCTGAGACTATGTTGGATGAGATTGCTGCCCAAAAAACTCAATGAGTTTATTACGTTTATTATGCTAATTGATAATAGACTCAGAACCAGAAATAAAACCAGATGTATGGCTTTGCCATTAGCACCTCATTTCTCCAGACCGGTTGTTCCTGACCTCTCTATACAGTCCGAACCTATGCAGTTGGGGGTCACTAGACTGTTCGAGGCAGAAAGACAACATCGGAGAAGAGAGGGTCTATGCATATACTGTGGTGAAAAAGGACATATGAGGAGTAGTGATGTCCCGAACGGTTCGCCACGGACGGCGAACATATGTGCTGTTCAGTCTGCCCCCTATTCGTCATCATTGAGTAAACTTTGACCCTGTACCTCACAGTCAGCAGACACATTCCAGCCAATCAGCAGCAGACCCTCCCTCCCAGACCCTCCCACCTCCTGACTAGCAGGGAGTGTTTTACTGTTTTTGGTCGATATGATTCTGTAATTAGGCCTGTCATAATTGTCAGCACCAGGCCCACTGGGCTCTTAATCTGGCCCTGAGAGGGGGGCGGGGTCCGGCTCCGCCCAGCGGAGTGCCGAACCCAGAAATGTTACCGCATGACAGTGCCTTACATAAGGAAGATATAATAGTCCAAGTTCTTGCATCTCCTTCTTGCCCTATCATATTAGGCTTTCCTTGGCTTAGTAAGCACAACCCTCATATTGACTGGGTTAATGGGGAAATATTGGAATGGGGCAAGGATTGTAATGGGAAGTGTATGTTACACCTCACCAAGAGAGTGGGTACCATTAAATTACCCACTACTATACCTCAAACCCCCGAAGTTCCCGTACAATACTGGGAGGTTAAGGAAGTATTTAGTAAAAGTCAGTCCAATATCTTACCTCCTCACAGGTCATATGACTGCTCCATAAATCTGTTACCCGGCACTATGCCACCTAAAGGGGCAGTATATGCCTTATCACCACAGGAGAGTAAAATAATGGAAGAATATATCAAAGACTCACTAAACAAGGGGCATATCCAGAAATCATCCTCACCTGCTGGTGCAGGCTTCTTTTTTGTAGAAAAGAAAGATGGAGAATTATGTCCATGCATTGACTACAGAGAATTAAATAAGATTACTGTTAAGAATGCCTACCCTATTCCTCTCATTTCCAAATTGTTTGATAGACTCCAAGGTGCTAAGATCTTTACCAAACTGGATCTCAGGAGTGGATACAATTTGGTAAGAATCAAGGAAAATTATGAGTGAAAAACAGCATTTAACACTAGATGCGGGCACTATGAGTACCTTGTTATGCCTTTTGAGCTATGCAATGCACCTGCCGTATTCCAGGATTTTATTAATGATGTACTCAGGGATTATATCTATTCTTTTGTCCTGGTTTATTTGGATGATATCCTTATTTATTAACCCACCACAAACAGGTCAAACAAGTATTGCAGACTTTACTGGAAAACAAACTTTATTGTAAATTGGAAAAATGCTTGTTTGATCAGACTGAAGTACAGTTTTTGGGGTATAACATTTCTGCCTCTGGTTTTCAGATGGACCCTAAGAAACTAGAGGCTGTTATACAGTGGCCAGTACCTAGCGGACTAAAAGCCATCCAAAGATTTATTGGGTTTGCAAACTATTACAGAAGATTTATCAAGGGGTTTTCTTCTGTAATAGCCCCCATCACCAATATGACACATAAGGGGGCTAGTAGTACGGTGTGGTCTAAGGAAGCTAGAGAGGCTTTTGAACTTCTTAAACAAAGGTTTTCTTCTGCCGACATACTGAGACACCCTGACACCAGCAAACCCTTCATATTGGAAGTCGATGCCTCCGAAACTGGGGTAGGGGCGGTTCTTTCTCAAAGGGAGAGTCAGGAAACCCCTTTGCATCCTTGTGGTTACTTTTCCAGAAAGTTGTCTCCCGCTGAGCACAATTATGATATTGGCAACAGAGAATTGTTGGCCATTGTCCTAGTGCTTAAAGAGTGGCGACATCTTTTGGAAGGTTCCAAGGATCCCATTTTGATCATTACAGACCATAAGAATTTGGCTTATATAGGGGATGCTAAACGTCTATCTTCGAGACAGGCTAGATGGTCTTTGTTTCTGTCTCGCTTTAACGTCCTTATAACTTACAGACCTGGTCCCAAAAATGTGAAGGCTGATGCCTTGTCTAGACACTTTGATACTGAGTCTTTACAGGAACACGAGACATCCCCTATCGTGCCTCCTGAATGTATCATCGCTTCTTCTGTTCTTTCACTGTCTTCTCCCTTGCTTGGTGCTATAATGGAGGCTCAATCTCAGGCACCATGCAATAAACCACTGGACAAATTATTTGTTCCATTAGGTGAAAGAAAGAATGTGCTGAGGGTGTTTCACGACAATGTGACTGCTGGACACCCAGGTATCAATAAATCCATATCTGCGATCACAAGATCATTTTGGTGGGATTCCCTTAAAAACAATGTGAAGGACTATGTGCAGGCTTGTTCAGTTTGTGCTGTTTCTAAGGTCCCTCATAAGCTTCCTTGTGGTTTATTGCAACCACTTCCTGTACCTAGTGTTCCATGGTCCCACTTGTCAATGGACTTCATCGTTGAACTTCCAAGTTCCAATGGCTATACCACCATTCTTATGGTGGTTGACCATTTCCTCCAATATGGCTAATTTTAATCCACTTAAAAAATTGCCATCCTCTCAAGACCTGGTTCTTATCTTTATACGTGAGATTGTCCAACTGCATGGCATTCCTCGCAATATTGTGTCTGATAGGGGCTCTCAGTTTGTGTCTCGGTTTTGGAGGGCGTTCAGTAAACAGTTGGGCATTGAATTGTCTTTTTCCTCTGCTTACCATCCCCAAACTAATGGCACGGCTGAGAGGGCTAACCAGTCATTAGAGTTATATCTGCGTTGTTTTGTAAATAGTACTCAAGATAATTGATCCGAATTACTACTCTGGGCCGAGTTTGCTAGGAACAATGCCATTACATTGGTCTTACTGGGGTTGCGTACTACCCCATTATACTACATATTATCAGCAACATATCTATCCTTAAAACCCTCATTTGGCCAATCTCATGGGGTAGTTGTAATCCCTCTATTATGTACACTATCTTGACCTCACATTAAGCACTTCTATAATTTCATCCTATATCTCATATTGCTAGTAGCAAGTTTTATTATCATTCTCATCATATGTGGGCAGCCAAATATGGGAGTTATATGTATACACCACTCTTTCTTACAACATTTCATTACACCACTTATACTCGCTAAGCCTATACAGCCCTAACGCTGCCTGCAAAACTCCATGGTATGTTAATCCCTTATTCTATCCATTGTAGCCTTACTTCACATACTTCACATACTGTCACTCTGTTCTTGCACAGTATTGGCAATGTTATGTCTCAATTCAACTCTTCTAGCCTAACTAATAATTTTACCTTTACAAATGGACTGGACCAAAAACTAGGTATTCACTATTGGCCATTTCACAACACCTGCACCTTGGTATGCTTACTTCTTTTGTTCGTTCCATACATCCGTACTCCTCATACAGCCCATCCAGCACCTCACTAACACTCGGCCTTCCACTACATACCTCTACACATGGCCCTCACTAAGCCTTCACTCCATACAGTTACATGTCCCTCTATGGGCACTATGGCAATTTTGGCCCCCGATTTGGGCAATTACATATGTCAATTTCGACCACTCGTTTGGACAATTACATACGTCCATTTCGGCCCCTCATTTGGACAATTATATACGTCAATTTCCTAATATACGAGGGTCAAAGAAATACAACCTTTCATACTACATTCCAATATTACACATGGCCTTGTTAGGCCCACGCAAGTCTTTTCCCTCTCTCAGCACACACCCGAGAACCTGGTACCTATCACTTTGCATTTAACATATGCAGGCTTCTTCGGTTTGTCACTATTTTAACTGTTTAGTATCTCCACCTTAAGGCACTTGCTAGTTTTGGTATTTCACTTCCTGCAGTATGCTATGAGATTTGATTAATGTGATGGTTGGTTTTTTTTCAGGGTGTTCTTTCTCATGCACACTTCAGGTCCTTCTAGTGGAAGGATGTGCAGAGGGAACTCATGCCTAAATTCGGTAAATCAAGTATCGGGTACCAGCTATTGATGAAAACTGTTAATTTTCAGTTACTCCACATGTCTGCACTGTTATGTTTTATATTATGCCTTTCTGTCACTATGCCACTTTGCTGGTAATCCTCACCTCCTGACATATACTTCACTGGGGTCTTGTTGTTCAATTATTCTGGCCAACTCCTTCATGACCTATATCATTATGTAAAGTCTCACCAGGTATACTTTATGCAGAAAACACAAACAATAGAAGGTAAAATGGGCGCTAAACTTAAAAATACAAACTGGTGCAGCTTTTACCACCTCAGTGTATAGTCACACAAATACACTTCAAACTTGAAATCACCAATAAATAAGGTGCATAGACACAGAAGTATTTTTTACCTTTAGCCAAAATACATATATGCAGATCCTATAAGTAGTTATACTCCATTAACTATGGACCCTGTATGTAAAATATAAAGAGCATAGCATAGTGTACACTGTTTCAATGAATGTATAAAATACAGGAAGGGAAAAGTACATTCACAATTTCTAGAGCCAAATAAGTGAGGCTCTGGACTATAGAGGCATTTCATCCACCAAAGTGGGATACGCCAAGTCTTTCTCCTTGAAGGTCCTCTAATACTCGGATTGCAGGAACCCAGGAATCAAGGAAGATTGTTCAAAGTAGAATTTTTATTCACATAAATAGAAAATAACAAATAAGTTTCAGCCACAAAACACAACGCGTTTCGACCTCTTGGGGTCTTCTTCAGGTGCAGCATATTTTTCCCATAGTCTGTACATCTGTATAAACACCCCCTAAAGGGTGTGGGGTTACAGGTGTAGAGGCTAATTGGGATAATTACATTTCCAAATATAGCCTTGACCGGAAGCAAACCGCCACCACTAAGATGGTGGTGCTTCCGGTTTTCGGCATGTCATATAAACATACATTACAGGGAGTGCAGAATTATTAGGCAAATGAGTATTTTGACCACATCATCCTCTTTATGCATGTTGTCTTACTCCAAGCTGTACAGGCTCGAAAGCCTACTACCAATTAAGCATATTAGGTGATGTGCATCTCTGTAATGAGAAAGGGTGTGGTCTAATGACATCAACACCCTATATCAGGTGTGCATAATTATTAGGCAACTTCCTTTCCTTTGGCAAAATGGGTCAAAAGAAGGACTTGACAGGCTCAGAAAAGTCAAAAATAGTGAGATATCTTGCAGAGGGATGCAGCACTCTTAAAATTGCAAAGCTTCTGAAGCGTGATCATCGAACAATCAAGCGTTTCATTCAAAATAGTCAACAGGGTCGCAAGAAGCGTGTGGAAAAACCAAGGCGCAAAATAACTGCCCATGAACTGAGAAAAGTCAAGCGTGCAGCTGCCACGATGCCACTTGCCACCAGTTTGGCCATATTTCAGAGCTGCAACATCACTGGAGTGCCCAAAAGCACAAGGTGTGCAATACTCAGAGACATGGCCAAGGTAAGAAAGGCTGAAAGACGACCACCACTGAACAAGACACACAAGCTGAAACGTCAAGACTGGGCCAAGAAATATCTCAAGACTGATTTTTCTAAGGTTTTATGGACTGATGAAATGAGAGTGAGTCTTGATGGGCCAGATGGATGGGCCCGTGGCTGGATTGGTAAAGGGCAGAGAGCTCCAGTCCGACTCAGACGCCAGCAAGGTGGAGTGGAGTACTGGTTTGGGCTGGTATCATCAAAGATGAGCTTGTGGGGCCTTTTCGGGTTGAGGATGGAGTCAAGCTCAACTCCCAGTCCTACTGCCAGTTCCTGGAAGACACCTTCTTCAAGCAGTGGTACAGGAAGAAGTCTGCATCCTTCAAGAAAAACATGATTTTCATGCAGGACAATGCTCCATCACACGCGTCCAAGTACTCCACAGCGTGGCTGGCAAGAAAGGGTATAAAAGAAGAAAATCTAATGACATGGCCTCCTTGTTCACCTGATCTGAACCCCATTGAGAACCTGTGGTCCATCATCAAATGTGAGATTTACAAGGAGGGAAAACAGTACACCTCTCTGAACAGTGTCTGGGAGGCTGTGGTTGCTGCTGCACGCAATGTTGATGGTGAACAGATCAAAACACTGACAGAATCCATGGATGGCAGGCTTTTGAGTGTCCTTGCAAAGAAAGGTGGCTATATTGGTCACTGATTTGTTTTTGTTTTGTTTTTGAATGTCAGAAATGTATATTTGTGAATGTTGAGATGTTATATTGGTTTCACTGGTAATAATAAATAATTGAAATGGGTATATATTTGTTTTTTGTTAAGTTGCCTAATAATTATGCACAGTAATAGTCACCTGCACACACAGATATCCCCTAACATAGCTATAACTAAAAACAAACTAAAAACTACTTCCAAAAATATTCAGCTTTGATATTAATGAGTTTTTTGGGTTCATTGAGAACATGGTTGTTGTTCAATAATAAAATTAATCCTCAAAAATACAACTTGCCTAATAATTCTGCACTCCCTGTATATCTATGGGCATATAACATATAAATGTCCATTAACTACAGTCTCTTCCGGGTATAGCAAGATGGCGGCACGTCCTTTTCCGATGACGTCCACTTCAGGTTTTCGGAGTCATGTGACATCTCCCGATGACATGCTTCCGCCAACGTTGTTATAGGCTGGCAGCATCCACTACTGGAGATGGGACGCTCCTCCCACCTCTTCGCGTAATACATACAAATTCCAATCCAGAAAGAGGGAGGAGTGTTCATACCATTAGTGCTCAAAGTTCTGTGGTATTATGGTATACCTTATAAGCCTCGATTCTGGAAAAGGGCAAAAGTCCCAAAAGTCATATAAAAACGTTCATAAAATATATAAAAGTGCATATTAACACAAACTAATAACCACACATTAAAAAAGACATACACATCACCACTTCATAAAAATCTCAGTGTAATAAATGTATATAAAAAAAAAAGTATACAAAAAAATATATATATAACCCAAGAAATAAGTAAATAGACAAGGGACATTTTGTATAAAAAAGGACCAATAAAAGCTTAATAAAAAATGGAAATTAATCATCAAATTCTATCTTAAAGGGCTAGATTATAAAATGGAATTCATTTAAAAATCTATGTTCAATCCTTTTGGGGTTAAAGTGCGTAATTCAAAAATCCATTTTTTTTCCTGCAGACTTAATTTTTTTATTATAATCCCCCCTCTCCAATGCATGGTAACTTTTTCTATTGCACAAAATTCTAATTTTTTTTTATCTAAAAAATGTTTTGATTAGTGAAACCTCTCTTTATATTTCTTATATGTTCACTAATTCTTATATTAAGTGCCCTGGTAGTTTTACTCACATATTGAAGCCCACATTCACATGATAATAAATAAATCTCCCTTTGATTGACATGTGATGGAGCATTTTATATTATACGATCTTCCAGCCATTTTGGATATAAAACTCTTTATATTTTTATTGTTACAATTAGAATTTTTACATGCATTCCAAGTTCCGCAATGATAGAAACCTTTCTGAATTTCTGCCCAATTTGATAAAAAGTTTTTTGATTTCGCTCTTTCAATAAAACTTGTAGTTAAAGTTTGTCTAAAATGTTTTGCTCACCTAAAAACAAACCTGGGTTTTGGCCCTATGTAGTTTGAAATATCAGGATCTTGTGTTAAAATGTGCCAATTTCTATTAATAATTCTTTTAAGACAATGAATATTGCTTGCATAATTAAAAATAAGGGAGATTTCATTCTTCTCTTGTGAGATGTTTTTAAAAGTTGACCCCTATCAGATTCTAAGACTTGATTAATCTCCTGTTGTAATTTTTCTTCGGAATATCCCTTTTTATACTTTATGCCGACCATTGCATACCTGGGGGTACTTTTGCACGTATAGTCAACTGAGTCATTTATCACACTGTTCAATTTCCTTTGTTAGTTTGGTAACATATATTAATAGAGTTTTGAGGTTCTGGGCTCCTTGCACTTACTTTACCTACCTTACTGGCAATCTGTTGCATTTTCATTGGTGTTGGTGTCGTAGCTCTGAATTATGGTTTTGGATCTCAGTAAACATTTTTCTTTTGCCCTCCACTTTCTATTAACCTATTCTTACCATCAATTTCTAGCATAGCTTTCATTTATCTGCCAGGTGTATGTCTTATCATGCCACATTTATTCTTTTGCATTTACGTTTAAGTCACCACGTAAGTGACTCGCTTTACGATACTACCTCCCTTCTTACAACAACCACTCGCTCTACAAAACCTATCTTTAACTTGGTCTGGTTGTTAGGGTACCCTAAGTAGCCATAAGTAGTTTTCGGCTTCTTGTGCCATTTTATAGCTGTCCCGCAAGGGCAAACTCCCATCCTCAACTGCAGAGGTATTTGCCCCTCGGGCCAAATCATAGTTACTGCCTAGCATCTACGCCCTGTTGGCAAAGCAGTTAGGGCCTTACCTGTCACGGACAACTTATTTTGAATCTCTTTAATCCTCACCGAGAGGCCAACAACCCGCCACAATGCTCGGTGGCAAACATACCCAACAGGCCAAATCATAGGTAGAGCCTTTCATCGCCGCTTGGCAACTAGTTAGGTTCCCAAGTCACCAATTTAGCTTAATTGTTTCACCACTTGGCATAACATAGGTTAGCCAGTATCTCAGTGTTATAGAGTATCTCCCACTAACCTATTTTCTCTGTCAGGTATAGTTATAAATGCTGATAAAATGTAAAGTATTGATGGCATAATGTAGACATGTATTAAAGTGTTAAACTATTAACTTTTTGCCCTCTTTTTACAGGCCTACCCGAATGTCGGTTTTCAGCACACCACAACCGACTTGTGCACCACTAACATAACTAAAAAACATATTGTCCCTGACCACAATTGGAAAGGCTGAGCCTGTGGGCGGAGTCTGTAGTTGTGGGAGGGGATATTGCTATAAATACACAGGTAGCCCCTCCCTCTTGGCTGAGACTGTTTGGTTCACCCCCCCACCACTTCCTTTATCAAGCCATTTAAATTGGTGGGCCCTCTTTTTACAGGCCTACCCAAATGTCGGTTTCGGCACACCACAACCGACTTGTGCACCACTAACATAACTCGGCTAATTGTCCCTGACCACAAACATATATATATACACACACACACACGTGTATATATGGAAGGCTTGGCCTGTAATTGTGGGAGGGACTATTAATCCTATTTAAACCCAGTGGGCCCCTGCTTACCTGTCGTCAACGATCTCGGAAGTTCTTTTGTTTAATTACGGTTCACAGGACCCTGACGTAATTTTCCCATCTGCCGGCAGTCCGTTTCAAACTTTCTTTTCTAACGGAGTTCGTGAGTATAACAAAGGAAGCCAGCATACGAACGGCTAACTGTAAGTTATACTCAATCATTCAAACGCACCCCTGTACTTGTCGTTAATCACACATTCATTTAAACATTTCCATTCGGCTGTAACTAATAATATCCATTCGTTCACATTCCGCTGCACTTCATGTAAGCTGGCATTCATTTAAACTTTTGTCTGTTTCCACGCACAGTTCCATTTGTACAATGTCAGAAAAAATCAGTTTGCCTAAAACTCTTATGTATAATCGTTCGTATATATGTGGCTGCCATTCATGTAAAACCCACATTTCGTGTAAACTTTCGTTTTTTTCCATTTCGTGTAAACTTTCATTTATTTGCCACGCTTGCAATTCACTCATACATGTCAGTAGTAGTTCTATTCATTTAAATAGCTATGTTAAAGCATTTTATTCATTGTAACAGCATTTCGTGTTAAAATTCGTCTGGTTTACCAAGTCTTTCATTAACGTCCATTTTTACATTTTAATTCATGTTGAGCTAAACGAACGGCACAAATATCCCTAAAAGACTGTATGTATATTAAGGGCAGTTACGGTCATACGATCACTGAAGTACTTTTATCATAAGCCCGTTCGGCTAAACCCTGCTGGGTCATTTCCCTTAAAGCCATAGCTAATGTATTTTACATAGGAATATAAGTACCTGTATGTTAAATAGGATAATTGGGAGTCTATTTTATGCTCCAGTTCTGTCTCATACATCTATACAATTTTATGGTCATGCTCCCCTAATGCATTTC